TGAAGAGACGGGAAGGACTATTCCTTCTATTTACAATAGCACAAACAAAATGCTGACTTCTGTGGAGAGGATGACATGTCAGTTTGTCTGGAATAAAACTCCCTATGACACATCTATCACTTTCCTACTGGCCCCAGGTGAAACATATGGCACTCTTGGAGGGGTGTGATGAATACACTAGCCCTATAAAATAATCCCCGGTTAGCCGACACAGGTCTTGTAATACAAAGCAACTATTACTTTCTTTTCTGTCTGACAATTAACTGAGTCAGGGCAGGACAAGCCCATGCACTATCCCTTTGAAACCAGTCATCTTCAACTCCAATGAATGTCTGCAGCCAGTCCTGTCTTGTTCATATCTCCTCGGTTTTGTGGCATAGCTGAAATATTTCAAGTTAAAGAGTTTAAAAAAAAAAGACGGATGGAGTGAATACAGCTAATTTTCATTGTCTTTAAATATTTGAAGCAGATTTACAGGAAAATTCTAAAGTGTTGCTGCTGAATGTGGTGGAAAACCCCGGGTGGGTTCTTGTAAAAGACTGGAAACACTCTTTTTGGCCGATCAACTGATCTAAATCCGCTTCCGGCCTCACATTTTCATTCACTTTGTTTTCCAGCATCTCTGCAGTTTAGCAGGCTCTCCTCCAGGGAATGTGCTTCATCCTTCTTCCCACTTCATCCTGACTTTTTCTTCCTGTCCATAACTCGCCTCACTCCCATATTTGTTTCTCCATTCCTTTTCACAATCATGCACGTGTTGAGTATCAATGGCTTGTATGACACAGACACAAGTATACAAGACACTGGGTGGAACCGCTCCTTTGCATAAACATTTCCACAGTGAGGAGGAGAGCTCGGATGTCTGTGCTCAGAGGGCAGAGGGCTGCGTTGCCAAGGATACACGGATCTGTTTGGACGGCAGAGGGTTTTCCCTTAGAGGACCCCAGAGGTGCCCAAGGATATGCCGCACCCTTAAAATATAGCTGAGCCCTAATAGTTTGCATATGAGCTGTTACATAACGCGATCTCTGCCTTGGAATCACATCATGACATGCCTTGCAGAAACACGATCAGTTCATGGGTAGTAAATAAGTGTTGGAAAAATCCACTCGAACACAAAATTCTCACAACTTCTTCCCAAAGTTTTAGGCAATTCAGGGTGAGCTAAGGACGTTAACAAGAGACTGCCAGGATGGCAAAAACGTAGCTTGCTTCGATGAGTTTTCCTAACTGCTTGCTGACATGTTTGTGAATCAACTCTTGGGGCAACTGGTACTGGGACTGGCCTGGAGTTATGGGACTGTAACACCAGGCCCAAAGGAATTCAACAAAACTGCCCAAACTACAGCACTGCCAGCCACATCAATCGTCAAATGGTCACATACTTGACAAGAGGATACGGAAGAGAAAATACACGGATTGCTCTCAGTTTTCAGAACTAATGATACGCATTTATATAAAGCTTATTTAGGGTGTAAACGTTCAACAAAGCGACAGAGAGAGAGAGAGAGAGAGTCTACAGAGATACTACACATCGTAAATGTTACTGTCCTTAAGATTTTATGGGACAATAAAACTACTATTTATCATCATTTTGTACCAAGCCCAAATGCCATTACGATTTCCAGAAGGGTAAGTAGTTCAGTAAGATCAGGGTAAAGCTTTGAGTCTCATGTCATTGACAATTCAATGGCAAACCAGTTGCTCTATGTATGTTGTACAATATCTAACACTGTATGGTGGCCAAAGGGTCATTGGCTAAGGTGGATGACATATAAGATGTCATCTGTGTATATCATTGAAGTCTTGACGCAATGAATCATACATGCGGGGATAATGCTGCACACTTTTCTCCAGTCACCTCTCAAAGTTGTACACACAAGTAGCTGTGTGAAGAATGAAGAAACAGAGCTTCGAGAGAGGAGTTCAAATCTTGTTTTCTCACCTCCGCACACTTAACCTGCGTGAAGTAGCCGTTTTACCGGGATTGCCAATTTTGAAGGGTGTCAACACTTACCAGAAAATAGCTTCCTTGATTTTAATGTCATATGGTTGGGTGGGAGGTTTAAATGATTTGACTGGCTACAAATAATTAGAGCATCTACCCAATAGCATGTTGGCTCTGAAAGTAACAGCTGACTGTGCAGATTGCTGAGTGCTTTCTTGTTTAGTCTTCTTACAAACATGAACAACTCTCAGTTTCTCCGCCTCCATGGCTGTTTGTCTCAGTTTGTTTGTCTGACCTTGTCTTTAGAGACTCTGATATTTTTAGACTTAAAACAATGTATAGTGCTGTTGCACATTTTTGCACAATTATGGATCCTGCTTTTGTATTAAAGCATCTTTCCTCTATTCTTTCTAAATAAAACCCTGAATCATTGAGTTTACTTCAATAACATTGAAGCCAAAATGCAAAGTCAGTGTATCAGCTGAGGAGCTTGGCATCATCTTGATCACCATCAGTCGGCTGAAACTCCAAGGTAACTTCCTTAATTCACTCTTATTATATCTCAGTATCACTCATCACTTCTGTCTTTGTAGCGTCTGCTCATACCAGCTGAAAACTCATCGTGCCCCTTTTCACATCCAGTTCAAATCAAATTAATCCTCCTGTCCTTTTGCTGCCTCTTCAGCCAAGCTAACTAATACTGTGCTGCCTGCAAAGAACGTAAGGAATGTTGTCATTTTTTAACGTCTGAGCCGTGGCTTCTCTCTGAAATGATGGCGCATTACACAAGAGGATGAAAAATTGAACTTTCCTGTTTCATTCCCATGCATCAAGTTATTTTTATTATTGCTTTTTTGCTCTGCTTTACATTCTGTTCTGCCGCTGTGGCTTGGAGTGCCTCTGCCTGCCTGCCATAATATCACAGCACAGAAAAATCCTGTGACAGTGATAATTTATGTTGCTATTACAATATACACAATTATATGTGTCGTTGGATTTATTGGAAAAGCGACCGCAGAGTGTTTGTGTGACACGTAATACATTCAAACTGACACAAACATCTCGAGTTTCTTTGTCACCAAGTGCTGATACGGGTCCCTGTTGCTGGCGTTCAATAATTCAGTGAGTGGGATGTGTGTGTGTGCATCCAAAATCCTGACTAGGCACTAAATAAAAACATAAACAGGACAACTAAAGAAGCAACTTTCTGACTAAATAGTTCGCCGGGTGCGACTCAGATGAAGGAATACGCTTTCATGTACAGTGCTCTTGCACAAGAAACAACAAGTCTTTTTCATTTTTAATTAAAGATCACTGGTAGGACACCTGCAGGCTAAGTGAAATAGAAAATCTTTTATGGTGCGTCTCAGTGCCAAAGCACTGTAACTCATAACAACGACACTGCAGCAGAGGAGCCAGAGACCAAAGTGATGATAGTGGAGTGAAAAATACTGACGCCCTGGTTGCGGTGTGTGGATGGTTTGAATACATGCATTCGTTACAAACCACAATTCTGTGTTTTCTACCTATATGTTGTTTGCATGATTGGTGTTTTTAATCTACGTATCTATGCATCTGATTTTCCTCCTGTATTCAAAGTTTAAAGCTCCAAACTGAAACAACACACTCACTTCACTGTCATGACCATGCACATGTGGAAGAGAATTTATAGGACATCCACAGTTCAATAACTAAAGCTGTGTGTAAAGACACATACTGTATTGTGCAAATAGAACAAACCTGAGGACATGTCAGTGCAGAGATGGTTAAATCATGGATGAATGTCTTATTTGGCTTTTGCTCTCTTGACATTGCTTTTGTAAGATTGCTCCTGCCATAATTATGACTGTAATCTATCAATTCCCTTCAGTGAAATGAATGTGCTGTCAGCTCTAACAGATTAAGTCTATTAAGTCCATACTAAAGTGAACACAATTTGCAGCGCACTCCAAGCCTGTTCCACTAAATCTGGATAGCTGACTCAGTTCAAGCCTCAGACTCTTTGGGCCAAGTGGCTGAGTCAACTGCATAACTAAAAAAAAAAAAAAAACCTACTGCCCCTAAAGAGTCCTGTCAGAGCCTGAAGGTCTAAAGGCCCTACTCACCTTATAATGTACACTATGGTACAACCATGGCTGTAGATGCTACTCCAGAAAATGAATTGATGGACTGATTGTGATATAAAATGATGTACAGTATACCATGAGGATTAAATCCACACCGCCCACCTTTGATTTAAAGTAACAGTGTCTTGATATGGCTTAGAACAGAACAGAACAGAACAGAGTAGAACATACCTGCACGGAAATAATTAGAACGGAGCAGAAATAATTTGAACAGAGCAGAATGGAACAGATCAGTATTAAACAGAACAGAACAGACTAGAATAGAACTGCACAGAATTAATCAGGACAGAGAAGAATTGAATAGAACCGAGCAGAACAGACTAGACTAGAACAAACAGAAACACAAACAGAATGGTAAACATCAGAGTGCTTGTGTCCAGACCACCATAGTTAAGTGGATGTGTGACCAGAATATTCCCTCAGCTCAGTGTGTGTGTGAGTGTGTGTGTGTGTGTGTCCGTGTGTGTCCCTCACATGGTGGAACAACTGACAGCAGCGGCCACAGGTGACAGACAGCCAGACAGCCAGACAGACAGATCATTTGGTCTGCAGCACTTGTGTTCACTGCCATCACTCATTCAGCTCACGTCATTAGTCGGTTCAGCCTGAAAGCTGTGTCTTCACACTGAGGCTGCTGGCTGCTCTGAGGTCTGTGTGGAGGATAAATCATGTCCAAACGTACGCAACCAAAAGACTGTCAGCCCCATGACTGTAACAGTGCAACGATTATCACAGTGGAGGAAAATGCAGTGTTATTACTCTACCAGAGAGCAGCTAATGTTAGGGTTGTAGATGTAAAAGCATGTATTCATGTGTTATTACTAACTTGGATGTGTCTCAGCTCAGCCTTCATCCAATGATACGCGTTTTTGGAAACGCACAAGGAGCAAAACTGAACAGTTTGTGTCTTTTAGCGCTTTTCTTACCTATAAAGTAGTTGAACGACCAGTGGAAAACGTCGTTAGATCCAGTCAGACAAGATATCCAACTTCTTCAGCCTGATGATGTGGTGGTGGTGGTGGTGTTGGTGGCGGAGCTGCTTTTTCTCCTCGACACAACTTTTCAGCAGCTACACGTCCCTCAGCTTCGGAGCTGTGCACAGAGACATTGTACCCCACCCTCCCCGGGGAAGAACTGCTTTATTTCGGCGTGAAGGTCAAGAAAACATGTTGACAGTAGAAAGCGACGCGGCTCGGTCCTGGCTCTGTCTCGGTAGAATCAGCTGTCATCACATTAGAAACAGGCGCAGTCGAGTCACTTAGCGCCTCTCCATGCCTACATACAACAACGCCACCCACTTTTTTCCAAAGTGACCCGGGGCTGGCCCGACCGGCGCCTGACTGAAAAGAAAAGAAAGTGGTTCCAAAAGCACAGGAGAGCACTGACTAATTAATTACTAATAATTGTAAAGTAGTTTTAACTTACATTTGATACTTTCACACTGTTATTTCTCAATAGTGCACAGGCTCGTGCAGCCACAACATGAGCCCAACAACCAGTGGTGCGAGGTAACTAAGTACATTTACTAAAGTATTTCCATTTAATGTGACATTAAACCAGTACATCTCAAAGGTAAATATTGTACTTTTATGCTCAACAAAATGTTTCTTATAATTCTAGTTAAGTTACTTTGCAGATGCAGATTTTACACACAAAACACATGATCAGTCTATAAAATGTAATGCTATTGAACCACCCAACAAAATCAAAATCATTTGAACTTAGCTTCACCTTCACCAGCTACAACATTAAAATGCCACTTCAACATTGATGCAGTTATATTAATCCTGTATTATATGACTGCAATTAATAATTATTTTCTTTATATATTTTTTAATCAAATGGTTGAAAATAAATGGCACTTAGTTAAAATATATTTAGTTTCCTGAAAAGCAGCTCATATAGGAGCTGGATCTGGGTAAAGGTAGCTTGAAAAAAAGACTGATGATTAAATAATGAATCGATTACTAATTTTCTGTGGATGGACTGATCGTTTCAGGCTCTACTTTTGAGACTTTAAGTACAGTTTGCTGATAGCGCTGTACTTTTATTACACTTTGAAGGCAGGACTTTTATTTAGTTGAGTATTTTTGCATTGTTGTGATATTATTATCATTTAACTATTCAGCAGATGTTGGCCCCCATTTTTTTATATTTCAAATTGTATAATGGACCAGAGTGAACTCACAGAAACTGTAACTTTATCAAAAGATGTCGTCATACATAAAGCTATATTTTGTAATTTTTCCCCAGAATAACCTTCCCTCTTATGACTTGCACATAGCTGACTCAATCAGAACACACAATTAGCATTCACTACACTATTACAAATGACACACTTGGTAAAAAAAAAGGAAACCCAACATTTCAAGGATATTTCTTGATTTTCCAGTTTACAATGTTGCATAACTTACCCGTTCAGCATAATTCTTGCCATATTATATGTCATCCATTGCTTGTGAGATACAGAAGAGGGAAGAAACACTGCTTTTGTGGCAGAGAATGAACTAAAATCAACATGAACCTTTCCTCACTTCATTACCTCATTCCCGTGCAGGTCAGCACATGCTCGGAGTGTCCACTCCACCGAGACCAAATACTGTTCTCAGGAGTTTAAGGAAGTAATATTATCTAAGTTTGGAGCTTGGTGACTTTGGACATTCTTTTATTTTGTGTTACAACAATTAATTTAACTGAATTAAACTCAATCTCTGCGGTTCTGAATTTAAGATATGTTTGATGCAGTTAGAAGTGTCTGCATGTCAGGAGTGAATGTAAGGGAAATAGCGGGAGCTAATATGGTTTACAGAAGTTGAAAAAAGTTCCCTGTAATGAAGCTTTTGGACACTCAGGAAGGTGTAAGCAGCAAATTGTTTTGTGGCTTTCTTTCTCACTGCAGCTCTTTTATTTAGCGTCATTAAGACAATGAAAACCTTTTTTATAGAGAGAGAAAATCACAGTCATTGCATTTGGTTAACCATTTTCTCAACCATGGCCATTGTGTGTAATGGCGTGAAACACTGAATCCTACTTTTGCTGTGTCTGCAGTAATGACAGCTTCCTCATATGTGATCTTGAATGTGCAGAACAATAGCAGGAAACAGAGCCAGTTGGATGTTTTCACCCTCACGTGTTGGCACAGAAAAGACACAGAACACATGAAAACATCCTCAGTCAGACACACATACACACAACACAACATTTGTATTGTAGGTATTCACATTTATAGAGTCTTCATACGCTTTGTGTTTGGTTTATTACTGTGACAAGTAAAAAGTGTTATAATTGTTACGATTATATAAGAAAAATATGTGTATTGTTAGAGAAAAATATAATATGGAGAATAACACACTACATGACATAATACATTATACCATTATACTTTTGAGAATGTCACTGCATCATCACCATCCAATGACAAAGCACCAAAAAAACCCAAAATGTCAACTTTTCATGAGCTGGAAAAAAAAGAAAAAAAATCATTCATTTTTAGAGAGTAACTTCCAATAAAACCTGGTCAGCGGTGTCGTAGAATTTCTCTGCTACCTCTGAGTCAATGAAAGTGGGTAAAGCAGTGTAGGAGATGTCTGGCACTGTAGGACCATTGGTGGGCTTCATTGACGCCACTTTTGGGCCAACTCAGTGTACACAAATGCAAGCGCAGCCCAACACACACACACACACGCGCACACACACACACATGCTCTCGCCTATGCTACAGCTGAGAACACTCCAGATCGGTGGCACTGTATGAAATGCTGGCTTTGTCCTCTCACACAGTGGCCACTTTCATTCAAGGGCAGTATGTGGGTCTATTGTTGTCTTTCAATATTTGCTGCCGGTTGATCGTCACTATAATGCTCTGCAGGCAGAGAATACATTGGCTGTCGCACAGTCATCCCATTGTGTTTCCGCTGAGAAACATGGAAATGACTGCAGGCAGTTGTTGCAGTTACTGAACCGATGTCAGAAAGTGAATGATTATTGTGACTCAGTTTTATCATGACGGTACGGTTTGATGTTCCCCAGTCTCCTCTCATTAAACCATTTGTGTGTGTCTCCATGTTTGTCTTTGGGGGGAACCTCTGTGTCACTGTCACAGAGTCAAGAGTCACGGAGTGCCCAGCGAAGTGCGCTTTTCCTCTTTCCTGCTCGTCAGAGAGAGGCTATTGTTGTACTCTCTATAGTGTTCATGAGTAGTACGGGAAAAGCAGATTGAGAAATCTCGAGAGCGATATTTCAGTCCACTCTTAACAGTTTGTTAAGTCCATTGCAAAGAGCCTCTTGCTTTTTAGAGAGGAGTATCATTCAAAAAACCATTCTCTGACAAAAAGGATCATATGAATTTTCCTGTCACCAAGAACAGCATGCTGTTGAAACCTTTCATAATGATACATTTTCCTGAAGTTTTCAGCCTCCATTCTGTAAATTTGATCAAATGAACACTTTAACTACAACGGGTAGGGGAATCTACGATTGAAAGTGATGCAGAGATTCCACCAGCGTTGGATTTGACATATTAATTAACAAATGTTTACACAACAGAAATGCACAACTAAGAGTTCTTCATTTGAGCAATTAGGGATGAGCATGTCCATTCATTTCATTGTGCATTGTTCTAAGAGCCATCACCCTACCCTGTGCTGCCACCTCCAGGATGCTGAGGCTCAGTCTTGTGACAATGCAGAGCGTCAAGGCTTTCACGTCGGCTCGTTTTGTGTGTGTCATCTGCTTTGATGTTACTAACACGACACAAACGTGATCAGTGATTGTTTGCCCACTGAGTGTATCTGTGTGGTCAGATTGCTTCTATATCCCGTTGATAAGAGCTTAGTATGAACAGTTGGTGGACTGCACCACTGGGTGACAGTGGGTTCTAGTTGGGTTCTGAGACAAATGGAACTGGATCAGCACATTAAGGAAAGGGAAACTATTGTCTGTATTTCCAGTAAGTCATTTTACGGTAGTGGTGATGCACATTATTACTCCTTGATCAGATCTCATATTACACATACATATGTAATATATAACTTTTTATATCACTCAAATTGTAGTAATATTATATTAATTATATATTAGTGATTATTTTATTATTATGGTCATTGCAGAGGTGTCCAGAAGTGTTATTGTGAGAGTGAAATACATGTTCAACTGTATCAGCTGATTTGTTAAGAATTCACACAGACAAATTAATTGCCAGTGGGGTTAGTAAAGGTAGTAAAGCAGATGCAGATGTTTTCCTAGTGGGCCAGGATGAGAGCTTTTCTTTCTTGAATAACTGCCCTTTTGACAGGAAACTGGATCAAATACAGAACAAAGGCATCTGTGTTTGGCTCCCTTCCTTGTGCTGCAGCGACACCTACTGTTCTACAAATGTAAAACACGAGATGTCTGAAAGGTCAGCAGGTAAAAGTAGATTTTTCCAGAGAGCAATGCATTATTTCCAGATGACCAGAATAGATTTGAAACACCCCTTGACTTGTTAATATAGGAGGAAAACTGTTATTTTTGCATATTCTCAGGGCAATGAGTCAAATAACATTTAACATGAAGTTCAGACTAACAGTTTGAAGCTTGGTATTTCATATAACATTTACAGTTAAAGGTTTATCTTTCCACCTCATTTCATTATGCTTATTTAATTTCATGTATCTTGCTTTCTTAGTACTCATTTACTCCTTATGTGTGTATGTATCTGTATCTGAATGCTATAAAACAAAGATTACTATTGGTACTATTGTTATTTTTTAACAGGGAAAAACCAGTGATTTTATTCACTCATATGCATTAAAGAAGAATGAGCAGGCGAAACACAATAAAAACACAAACTATTGAGATGGTAAATTAAAACAGTCTTTTATTTTCAATTTCAATTTTCCTCAAATTATAGAAATCAAAATCCAAAAAGTCCTTTACAAAGACAGGATAGCTGTGTTCATACAAATCAACACTGTTACATAAATACACCAGGTTTGCAACATTTCCTTAATACAGACACACAGTTTACATTTATCAACAAAAAACAAACAAAAACACCAGAGGTTTGAAATACATAATCATAGGACTACAAAGGTAAAATTACATACATATATTATGGTCATTTACCATGTTTATGTGGTGTCTAAATCATTGTCCATGTCTCATCTAGGGCCGAGCTTTAAGGGGGCCTTCGGAGACGAGAGGTTCTTCTTGCTGTTGTGGGGCTTCACTGGTTTGGGGTTTTGTTTTGGTGCTGTCTTCAAGTAAAAATGAAGCTGTCAGGGAGGAGATGTAGAAAAAAGTGTAAACGATCAAGGCGCAATATCATCACAGCCCACAAGAACATACAGACAAACAATAAATTACAAGCCTCTTCTAGGGCTCTTTCCCTCTAGTACCTGCTTTTTCCTCTTAAAAAAAAAAAAAAGTATAGTCTTATTCAGCCATATATACCCTGTCCATACAGACACAAACACACCTGTATGGCCTCAGCTGGTCCCACTGTGACGGTGCTGGTGGAGGAGAGGTAACCCGGGGCAGACGCAGTCACAGTGTAGGTGCCTGGTAACAGGAGTCTGAAATAGTCGCCATCCACTCCTGGAGGATCACACACACACACACACACACACACACACACACACACACACACACACACACACAGGGAAAAGATTGGTGGTTGAAACATCCAACTACTGTTTCTCCAACTTTAAGTTACACAGTGGTGGAAGAAACATAAGTATTCAGATCCATTACTTAGGTATTAGTAAGTTGAATAGAAAATAGAAAAGTTATATTGTTATATATTATTCTGATGGATTATTATTACTGATGCATAAACATATAAATAACATTTTAATGTTGTAGGTGGCCAAAATGTAACCGATTTTTAGCTATTTCATGTCACCAGGTGGTTTGATTTACTGTATAACCTTAATATAACCAATATTTCATGTGTTCATTTCAGGTTTTCAAAATCTTAATCTGCAAAGTAAGTAGAGATTGTGCCAGACAAGTTAAAAAAATACTATAAAATTGAAATATTTCCCTGTAGTAGGAGTATAAAGTAGCATAATATTTAAATACTTAAGCAAAGTACTTGAGTAAATGTAATACATTGCATGTACAGTTTGCATAATTTTCAAAGTGCATTTCGACCATTGGCCACCAGAGGGCAGCTTGTTCCATTCCAGTGTGAGGATTGACTGAACTTTTTTTTTTTTTTCATTTGGATGATTCAATAAAATAAAAAAAAATAAAAAAGACTCTTTCCTCTTTCTCATACACTCTTGCACAAGTGATATTTTTGGACACTAATCTTATACGTCACTGACCAGGACATTAGCAGATCATTTACCACAAACCTCCCCCACATATTTCTTCAACCCCGGAGTCATGAGTAAAAAAAACAAAACTTCCAGGAACAATAACCACATCTATACAATAATTAACTGTTGTTCCCTCAACTGCTTCTTACCGCTGGTCACATCATGGTGGATGCCAGCTACTGCAATCTCAGCATTGCCGATAGGGTTGTTGTTTTCATCATACACCATGCCTTTTATCCCATGATGCACCTGAAAAAGGAGAAACGTGTGTATTACTTTTTGTAAATTTTTGTGCAACCCAAAATATAACAACATGTGCTAAAAAGTCTATTAGGTAAGTGTGACCACAGATAGCGTTGTGTTTGAATGTTGCACTAGAGTACAGCATTGATCGAAAAGGTCATATCAGGCCATCAACTATAGTTTAGAAGCAAATGCCACGACGGTTAGGCCTTATTGACCTTACCCGGTCCGCAATAGACACACAAGCAAAACAAGACCAAAACCGTATCTGGAGGCCCTTTCAGTTTGGTTTGTTCAATCAGCGATGTGGAAAAAAGGTATGCATTGCTCGACCCTCCCTTGTGGCTTTACAGCATCACTGTATTTTATCTCTGTGGCATAAGGGACATTTTGTCTTCAAACCAAGGCTTAATTTAATGCTCCACAGAAGGTAAAAGTCAGCTTACTTGTATTACACTGAATTTCATGCAGCTCATTTTGAGTCACTTTACCCAGAGAATCCCTGCCAATACTTACAGGAAGCCAGAGTATTGGACTCTTGACTCTTGGCAGTTGGATTTTTGTGCGTAACTGTATGACTGTGTATTTGTGGTGTGTGCAAGGAGTTGCTAAATTGTAATACTTTATTGACATAACTGTAATCTGCCAAAAATTTGAGTGTGTATGTGTGTGAGTGAGTGTGTTTGTTCCGACCTGTTCCAGGTACGAAACCAGTGCCTCTCGGTTGCCCAGCCACTCTCTAGGCAGTGCTGATGCTGGAGGGAACTTATCACAGCTCAGCTCCAGGGTGATCTCAAAACAGTTGGTGTACAGGTAGTTGAAGTCCTGCATGCCTGAAACACAAAGATATTTGATTTCCCTCTAGATTTCGTTAACGTAGGGTAGGTGGAATTTGTTACAGTGGACTCAAAAACCATGGGTGAGCAATTCTGGTCAGTGAGATAGTGGACACCAAAGCTTTTACTAAGTTGTATGGAAGCTGTTTCTTTTGATTCTTTTACAAAGAGCTCGACTTTAAGACCATTTTTTCACGGACTTTCAGCACACCCAAAGTCAGGCTTGCTTTCTGAAAGACCGAACTTTCTAAAGCCTAATGCATATGAGGCCGTTATTGGGAGGGAAAGTTCAAATGTAACCTCATAGACCATGACATAACACTTGGAGCAAAAGGAGTTGTTAAAATAAACATAACATGCTGCTACTAAATGCGACTGCGGGTGTTTTTCACCCAAATCAAAAAGCTCGCATGACTCAACTGAAAAGCTCAACAGATTCACATTCCTTAGAAGAATCCAGACCAGCTCAGACCAGGACTTACAGATCAAAGACTCGGGTCTTGTTATTGCTGCAGTTTCCAGGCAGTTTTGATGAACTTGGTGTACTGCAATTTCGAGGCATATGGAAAAAGATTGCTGGAAGTGTTCATCGAGTCTTAAAACAAAGGTCCCAACCCATAAACCAAACAAGAGGGGGCTGAGGACTTTAAGTTAGCTGCCACTGCCAAAGCTTGTATAACTCCCAACAGCCTGTAGGTGGCCAATGCCAGTAAATAAAATTACTTTGAACCAAACCCTAATAACAGCCCCACTAAGCTTGCTGGCTCTTTGTGTGGCACACAAAAATGAAAAAAACAAATCTCTACTATTCAGCGTATTTATTTTCTATGTGCAATTGGAGGAGATTTTTGCTACTAATAAGACACTTAATCCATTTACACAACACAGGATTTCAAAAGCCAAAGACCAGATATAGTGGTTAACACAAGAGTAAAAATACAGTAAACACTGTATATTTATATGGGGAATTGTTCCAGCATAACTACTGCTGGCTTAGTTGGTTTTAGCACTTGTGTAGTAAAACTAGGTTAATAAAAAATAATGGTGTGTGCATGTCTTTATTTATTTTAGTCAAACTTCTCTACTATTTACTGAGTGTTAAGGGACTGTATGAAATGTATTTGGGTGGCAAAAGCAAGGCCGTCCCCAGCTTTTATTAAAAGTTTCAATGGACCCTCTATCTATCTTTATCTTTAATCATAAAACTTATACATGAGAAAGATTTTTCTGTGAGTTTTTTTCTGTCAGTGCTAAAAAGGTGCATGTAAAATGTGAAACAGTGGACTATTTCAAATTTCATATGAACCACAATTTCGGATTAGAAATTATGACAAACACATCAAATGAAATATTTGAGCCACTGTATTTATCAACCCAGAACCACTAACTAAACACTCACAACCACTGTCAGTGACAAAATGAACTAGACACAGGTGGCAGATCTGCGCACCTTGAAAACATAAATCTGTAGTGACATAAGTTCAGATACCCCACCTCCCCACTAATAATTTTCATACAGTTCCTACATACAGGGTTTCTGTTGACACCTCTAGTCACATATCTGCGGTAAACTGATTTCTGATGGTGATTAAACCCTCCAAGGTGGTGTGATTTACAGCTAAACTGAGGGGTCAGTCGGAGTGCAGCTGTTGATGAACAAGAGGTGAGGAAGTCAAAGGCAAGAGGAGAGCACAGAGGCCTCAGAAAGGGTCAGATAGTTCATGGGGACCCTGGGGGAGCGTGCCATGCAAGCCACTCGAGGCATTTCATTCATGCTGAAGTCATTCACGCAGGTGGCCTTGTCTTTCTTTGGAACGGGAATGATAATAGATGTTCGTCCAACACTTTGTTTTGTCCTCGGAGGCAGTCTTCACCCGCGCTTCATCTGTTCTGTCTCTGTATCTGAGGTGTATGGCGATGCACGTCAATGTGTATATCTCATGCAGCTGCATACTCTACTGCTAATGAAAGCACAGAGGAGGTCTGAATATAAATTGGCATCTAAAACCAACTTATATAAAGAAATATTTTTGGCGATTTGAGTGTTGGACACAAAACCTGTGAGTGTATCTTTAAAGATGATAATTGACACGCATTTCATGACTCCAGTGTTGTTTGTAGTGTTTTTTCAGTTTAAAGTTTTATTTGTTTCCGCTTCATGCTGCTCACGAACAGACACCTTTCTTACCTTTGGACAGAGAGTACCAGCTGGCCCCGTTGGTGATCCCCTCATCAAAGAAGTCCCCACAGTTCCAGCCCTTGTGCATCCAGCTGTGAGCGTACGAGTAGGTCCTCGCCAACTGTCATCACACACAAATGCACACGTGCCCAGTCAGACCACTGCATGTTTTCACACACAGGACATCAGATGCCTGGGGAGAAATTCTTAATCTGCAGCACACCTGTCTGAAGATTTTGTCATCCGGAGTGGCTGCATACGTGGTCCTCCCTCGAATGCGGGGATCTCTCGACTTGTCAAAAGGGTAGTTGGCCACCACAGCTCCTCCGTGGAGATTGGCCGACAGGACAAAATTGTAGTTTTGCATCCATTTTATGACTGCCAAGGTCTCTGGTTCAACCTGTAGAGGATATTCATTGAGAAGGTTAAAAAGGAGCTTAGAACTTTTAGGGCTGATGTATTTAACGGCCATATGGACCTTTTTATATACAGACACACCCAAAGACATATTGAATCCAAGTGCTTGTGATACCGTGGTGCAGTATTTACATAATGTCCTTTATCAAATGTCTGACTTTTATTATTGTTAAATAATTAGTCCACAAATGATTTCCCAATCCTTTAAACAAACCGTCTAATTCTGTATTAGTGTTTGTCAGACCTCCAGTATATTGTCTAGTTATTTATATGAAAATATTATACATAGCCTTCACTTCACCCCAGACCTTAACCAAACAGCATCAGTGGACTGAAGACATCTGGTTTTCTTTTCACCAACAAAATACGGCTTCTCTTGGCTGGTTATCTGGATAAATTCTAGTTGTCTCTGCCTTGCCATATGCACATATTTCCTCTGTGGTTTTTCTTACCTCTTTTTGGCAAACCGCTCAAATTATAGGCGACCATGGTTAATTCTTCAAGGCATCCTCTACCTTTCTCAAGCCCATGAAATGATCCCTCAACTTTATTTGCAGTGCACTTTCTCCCACATCCTTTAATGCTGCAGTTTATCTCTCCTTTTTTTTTTTATCAAGGCTCTAAATGAATCAGCAATGGTGGTTAACATTTGTTAAAAGCTCCTTCTTGTCTGTTTTTGAGTCTGGAATTCAGGGAGAAAGATGAGTTTACAAGATGATGCAGTACTTTAGTAAAAGCTGCCAGGATGGAAACACAAGTTACTTCTACAGTAAATCTACAATAACAAAACTAGTGATTTGTTTGCCACAAAGCTACTTCAAAGATTACATAAGGCGGTTAACATTTAGCTGTCATTAATTAATGCATCTCCTTCTGCACAAACAGGGTCAGGCTTTGCGTCACATTACCTAACCACACGGCATCTCCAGACATCCAGACTACAGACAGAGCCCTTCAAATTCCAGTTCATGCTGTCATTTCTTTTCTCTGTCAGTGGTAACTATCCTCACGCACTCCTAGCTCTATATCATGTCTGGAGACAAGGAGTAATACCTCTCCTTGAATACGGTATGTAGGAAAATAAACAGTCTGTTCACAGTTCAAGAATAATCAGGCCAGTCAGGGCTCAGTAGCCTTGAATACAGCATTGCTATCAAGAAGCTTTTCTTCTGTTTTGAGGAGTGGCAGGTATTTATGATCCATGGGTCTTTATATACACCCATATGTGCTTTGAAGTCAGACCTGTCACCATGGTGTAGGGTTACATGTATGAAGGGCGCACACACACTGACAATCATATCTCAGCGTTACAATACTAAAGTAACTACACAGACGGCGAGAGAGTAGCGCGTCATCTTAAATCCAAATCCACACAAACCCACACATCCTGGATCACTCAGTGGTTCATTGACATTTTGTGGTTAGTTTTCACACTGTATGAGGGATGTCCTCTGCGTGCCAATTTATTGTCAGCGGACACTCTTGCAAAAACATTGCCTGGCCTCATGGTGCGAGGCGGGCTGTTTTTCAGAGGCTGAGTAAATACTTTATTTCGAAGAACAGAACCTCGCTGTCAGTCTGTGAGTAGTGGAAAAACCTAAAAGAAAAAAGAAAAAAAAAAAGGGATTCCTGAGCGAAATTAACCGTGAGAAATTACAACTACACTGGCAAACTCTGAGATGAGAGCAAGTGCTGGTCCTGTTTTGCAATTTATTCGAGGATGAAACTATGCTTCTTCATACAGGAATCCAAATACTCCATGAGTAGCACGCGCCACCTGGAAGGCCCTGAGTTGTTGTATTTGTCAGTTATTGCAGCTGCTGGCCCAGGAACATATTTTTTCACCTCTGCCCTGTTTTCGTGATAAGGAAAAGGGGGAAAACTGTGTGACTAACTAAAACTCATTCCTCTGGATAAAACATCATCAGCTGGCTAATGTAAATGTAGCATGTCTGAGGCTGCAGGCGAGCGCAGGGGCTTGTGGCTTCATGCGGCCTGCGAGGATGTAATCCTGACCAGCATGAATGAATGAAGTATCTGTAACAGCGGCACAGTTTCTCTTTTGTGTATCTCTTTCAGGCGGCAGTCATGTGGGTAGACAGCCAGCCCGCAACTGGAAGGACCAGCATTTTAGTCTTCTCAATGCATTTGCAGCCCAGGAAAAAAAATAAATAGTACTTGCGTGGCATCAACAAATTAGTTCATATGTGATCAAAGCGGTAAATAATACTGAAATAATTTCTCTATAATGCTATACCTTGTCAAAACCTGCGTGAATGTTTACTCGGAGGAGAATATGCACTTCTCCTCTGACTCTAACTGCACATTTGATAAGATTTGTGGTCCCTTCACTGATTATAGCTTCAACTTAGTAGTGTGGATTGATTTCTGTGCCCCTCTGACCGTGGCTCTAAATAGTTTATATATGTAAAGAACGCTCACTGGATCAGTGTGTTTGCACAGCATATCACAGTGTGAGAATTTTTTTTGTCTTTTTTTTTCTCTCTGTGTCCGACTGAATGTCAGCTGGGTGTATCAGGGTGGGGTGTTTTGTTGTTTCCTTTTTGTGTTTTAATATAGAGTTGTTCCAAAAGTTCAAAATAAAATAGGAAAAAAAAATCTTAAGACCATTATTTCTAAATAGTGCAGGTAGCTACGATGGTTATACTTTCCTCCAGTTAAAGCTATAACATCCCATTATTAATTACATCCCTGTTTTTTACTCTGAGAAGAAGATATTACACATTTTTATATTAATTACTTTACAAAGGGTAAATTACATCATTATTTCTCATTGTTAATATAATATGAGGTGGACAGATGACAGATTAACTACATTGTCTATTAATATTAAACCTAATGGAATGTCTTTTTCATATATAGTTAATTTGGTCATTAGTGTCATAATGTGATGGGAGCAAGCTGTGTCATATTTGACTGTATTTAGCTTTTGGAACTTGTAGGAATGTTTTTATTATATCTGTAGAGATATTACATTATCTAGCAGTAACAACACTCAGTGGCTTCAGGAAGGAGGGAGCAGAAGGCCAGGCCAGTTGAAGATAATATGAATGCGGATGAGACGTCCCCCAGGATCTGACCTTAAATAGTTATTCTCAGCAGACTGTTAGTTATAGTTTGACAGCACACACTTGCATACTTCCACATGTTCTCTGTTCATTTTGCTCTGCAGTGGCCATTCAATCAACCATGTCGCTCCCACAGCCAAACTATATGCATTGCAATATTGAGCAACAAATAAAATACTTCAGCAGCCAAAGCTGTCTTGTCTTTCAATAAATGATAGTGAAGTGTATTCCCTCAGTGCTATTCACTGTGTAGGGCAGGTTTCTGTTTTGCATGGGAGAGGACATGTAGTTGCATGTACAGTACCTGACAGAGCAGAGAGCTTTGTGTGTTTTTGCCAGGTTAAAAATATTTCAAGGTGTACAGTGTGTACATTTGTAAGTTGTTTCCCAATAGTCTCATAGCAACCTAACTATCCACAACCAGGGCTCCATGAGGATTGTATTGGTAAGTTCAAGAAAGTAGGCATTTGTGTTCTTTGGCCACAGAGACTTGGCAATGAACAGACAACTTTGAGTGAAATCGCAGGTTTGTAAGCTATGTGGAGATTCAGGCAGCACCTCAAGGTAGCAGGTAACAGTTACACTCTGAGACCGCAGAGTCGCTCAGTTCAACTTCTCACGGTGGTGATGGGGAGACAAAAATGTTTAGCTGAAGCTGAAGGTCTTCATATACATTACATACTGTATATCTTATCAGGTGTTACCATTCAAGAGTGGGGACATCTGTATTTTCCATTTAGTTTTGTTTCCTTCTTCTGAGATCCTACATTTTTTTGGCTTTTTCTGAGCTTGAGTCCACAACAACTGTCGGCAAACAGATGCCATGACCAGTAAACTCATATTATTTGTCAACAAAACCTCTGGACTGTCTTTAAAATTAAGGCGGGATCGAAAAGATCATTTTTAGAGATGCTTTTCTGCCATGTGGGTTGGAAAGAGTGCGTCTGCCATTTCGCCCACCTGTTTCAGTTCGCAAAGACAAAAGCAAGCGGCTTCTTTCAGACCCAGAAGAAGAAAAGCACAGTTTACACATAGGTTTTACAGTTAAGATCCAATCCAAATGGGTCAGACCGCTCGGGCATTCACAAACATACACAACATGCCTACAAAGCCACTTACCGGGTCTACTTATTTATGCATAAATTTACGCACAGTTTCTTTTTATTTAATTAAAGCTCAACTGGCTGCAGGTTCTGATCCGGCACAAATCTCATGAATTCATTCATGTCAACAAAGTTAAAGCCAAAATAGCTCAGCTGTGCTACAGCTGCTTATTATTCAACTCCATATTCAAACAATGAACACACACTGACACAAGCATGAAAAATGTCCTCATCCATCTTCCTCTCTCACCCAAACACGCATATATTTGTACGTTGTGCACACACACATATGCATTGATAAATGGTGTCTTATTCTATATGCGTGTCCTCAGTGTTTATCCAGCAGCACTGACCTGTTGCTCCCAGTTGTCGGGCAGGGGCAGGTGGTGGTTTCGTCCGTTGGTTTTCTCATAGTAATACATGAGCGCATTCAGGTCCGGAAAGTTCCGGTTCAGATCCATCTCTCTTGCGTTCCCTCGACCCACCAAGTAGCCGTTGAACTCTGGACCCTGTTGACCCAAAGACAAACTATCAAGTGTGGAAAACTGCAGCCTGTTGAGTCACCTTTGCTTGTTGCTCAGTTGAGTATTTTAAATCATCATGTTTTGGCTTCTGGGGTTGTGTTCTTACTGCTTGATAGCAGAGAAGGAAAACTGACTTTCATTATTGCATGAACTGCACAAGCAATCAGTGTAACAACAGTACATTATTTTCCAACAGGTTTAATCCACAATGATTAACTTGTTCTCTTAGGAATCCAAACTTAGATCTTTCCCAAAACACTTTAATGGACGATAAGACTACGCCAACAAGAATGAAAATTCAAGACACGTTGAGTCCTGACTATAATAAAAAAGGCTATAATATAGCAGGGCATGGCACAGTATTGAAAGTTTTCATCCCTGCTAGCAATGTGGCTCTAGGGATGGCAATGATGATCTGTTGGTCGGTGCAGGAGGAAAAATCTCATAACTGCTACCATCAAATTTTGTACAGACAGTCATTGTACCCAGAGGATGAAGCCTAATGACTTTGATGATTCCCTGACCTTTCATCTAGTGCCACCGTGATGTTCACATTTGTGGTTAATGATGAAATGTCTCCACGACTAATTTGCACACATCCATGTTCCCCTCAAGGTGGACTTTCATATAGCGCCATCATAAGGACAACATTTGTTTTATGAAAATATTTTGTCAATTGTGGTTTACCATGAAATAGCTGCAAAACTATTTTAGCCTCAGCTGCACTTTGTGTTTAGTGCTAACTAGCAAATGTTAGCATTCCCATAAGTTAAACTAAGATAAGCATGGTAAACATTATACCAGCTAAACGCTGACATTTAGCTTCTGACGTTAGCGTTTAGCTTAAAGCACTGCTGTGCCAAAGTTCAGCCTCACAGATCCGTTGGCATGGCTGTAGACTGATTCATTACACTCAGGAGTCAGAGCGCCTTGGAATTTTCATTTTTGTTTACATTGCATTGGACTCCAAAGATGACCTTTTATCACTGAGTGTCATTCCAAAAATGTCTTTTTGTTATTGACTATAAAGCAAAGATGCCTCTTATTGAGTTGCCTCTTTTTTTATTAGGAGCATATTCCAGAAAGTGATGTGTTCCAAAGTAAGGAGTCATATGTTGGATCTGGATAGTATTTGTAAACATTTCCATGCAGGATTCTGCAGAACTTTCTGACCTGCTGGATGCCTTCTGATGCCATAGACATGATCATTTTTGTTGTTTTTCCTCAAAAGTTCAATTACTACCTCAAATCAGTACTGTGCCCTCCAGGAAGAAACAATCCTCCCATTGTTTTCCAGATGCTGTTACATCCAAACATCTGTTGATGCAAGAAATTATAGCGTTGTGTGCATGTGTCGTCTGAGTGGCAACGAGAGGGACCTTCATGTGCAACTGGCCTGCTCAGGACATATAATTAGTCTCAAAGAGATTGTGAATGTGTGTGTGCGTGCGTTAAAGGGGGTTGCGTGTGTGTCTGTTGTTTCACGGCCCATATAATTATCCCTGGTAGAAAGCTAGGGGCTCTCTCAGGGAGCTGATCGATGGGATTATTACAGACATTAGCAAACAGTGGAAGAAAATTACCTGATAGTGTTTGGGTCAGAGTTGCTCATCTTAAACACGCGTACATTCATTTTATATCAAATCAGATACCTTTACATATATGATATCAGACGGAGTCAAGTCAGATGTGTGTTGAATGTGTATTGAGCTGTGATTTGACTTGCAGGTATTGAGTTTCACTGAGGGACCTTAACATTTCTAAAATTTCCACTGGCAGGAACACAATCGAAGAAAAATGTGGAAAGTTTTTCTCCACAAGTGGCAAATGATTACTTAAGAAAATAAGCCAAATGTGTCCCTGTGGAAGATTTTCCATTGTTTTCTTTTGGCTTGTGGGAGCCTGGGGCTCACATGTACTATCAGGGTGTACATTACCTGTCTGGCAGCCACCTCGTAACCATCTGGGTTCATGGAGGGCAGGATGTGGATGCGCGTGTCATGGATCAGCCTCATGATCCGCTGGTTTCCGGCCCGATACTCCTCACACAGAAACTGGGAGAACTTAATGAGCAGCTCACGGCCGAGCACTTCGTTGCCGTGCATGTTGCCCACGTACTTGAACTCTGGCTCCACTGGGAAGGAAGTGGAGAGGTGTAGGGGGGAGGCATGAGGTCAAAAAGCCACATAGAGCTGCCAAGCGTGACATTTAAAATGACTGCCTGAGTGCACACATACTTACACATATATGAGCACACTCACTAGTTAAGCTGTCTTTTTCATGTTTTTAATTCAGCCTATGAGTTTTAATGAGTCTCTGAGCCACTGTATTGACTGTGTAAATGTTACAAGATTTAAATTATATATAATCATCACATAACCTGACTAATAAACTTTGGTCAACAGCGGCTGCTGTGGCAATAAGAAGCATTTATATGATAACGGCTCATTGAATTTCCTTATATTTACCAAAATTATCTTGAATCAAAGACATCATCATTGGGCAAGCCTGACTGAGAGAAAGTGCAATGGGACAACAAGAAGGTAGCAACAAAAGTCTCTGCGTGAGGCTCACTGTGTTTACTTCTCATTATGCTTTTGTAATAAAACTGTGACACGCTGAAACTTTATATAGAAGTACCACAAGAGTCATAAAGCAAAGTGACTCATTAAAATCACTTGTGCTGTAAGTTTGCTATTGTCAGCTGTAAGAGTACTCCACCAATTCACCAATTTAGCATTACACTCCTATATCATTTTTTTTATTTCACACTTTTTTCTTCCTTGTCACAACTTGGCACCTACATTACCCATGATGCAACTCCTCTGGTGACAGTTTTATTTGAGCTTTGACTGTGCTATGCTAGTTGCAGCTTTTGCAGCCTCTAGCCTCAGGCAGACATGAGGAGCAGGCTACAGCAGTCTGGTAAGCTCCACGCCCCCAGACCAATACTGACTCCAGTGACATCACCTGAGGCAATTTGTCATCTGCAGTAGTTCTCCCCAAGACATGTAAACAGACTTTGATGTGACCTTGATGTGAAGTTCCCCTTTAACTAAATGACCATACCAGACCAAGTGAGACTGAAGCGGTTGTGTATTTAGACCAACAAAGGTTGCGTTTTATTGCTTATGGATTCAATTTTTCAATTGTAAGAGGAAGAAATTGTGTTATTTCTTATCTCAACACATGCATAGCCTCACGTTAAACTAATTATTAAGCTTGATGTTTTCACATTATTTCAATTTCATGATAAGGATTCTCTCAAGGTTCAGCCAAAGGTGAGCTGTGGGGAGTGAGTCTGATTACAGCTGATTGAGTTATTTGGATAAGGTCATCTGGCATTCCTATGATTATCTGTCAGTGATTGGGTGAGCCACCTATCCAAACAGTCTCCCTCTCTGTATAGGGTTCCCTCCTCCCAGGGGTCCCTTCATTAATCACTGCTGCTGCGTTGAGAGACCTGCAGGCCCCCAAACACTGCAGCTAGAGGACAGAGCTACTGTTGAGCACGGGCTAAACACTATGGTGTTTATAAATGTGTGTGCCCAGTAATTATTATTTTACATTATACCCACAGTACATAGCATTGCAACTGTTGTAACTACTTGCTTTTCTCTTGCTCACATGCAGAAGTAATTGTGGGTTTTTGGGGGTTGGGGTATTGTGTGGGTGAGCAGATACTTCCAAATTTATGAACACCCTTCTCTAATTGCTTCAGGCACCCAAATGGCAGCTTGGGCACTGCAATTCACCTCCTTTTCTTTAACAAGGGGCCAACTGGCCTTGAGTTCAGAAAACAGTGTTGGCTCGAGTGTGCAGCTTTAAAAAAAAAAAAACGCACACACTCAGCAGCATGTGAAAGACATGAACTTCCTAAAGGGTGCAAGAGGGTTGACCCAGACAAGACCTAAGGTCACTCCCCTCCGTGAAGTGCACAGTTCCTGTTTTTCACTCTCAGTCACCTTGCAACAGAACAGGCGCACATCCTTCTATTCTACTGAAGGAAGCCCCTACGTGTGCATATGCAGAAAAAAATGCAACCTCAGACACAGCCAAAAAAGTATTCCCTGCAGTTGTCAAGCTTTTTTTTTTTTTCCTTTTTTTGTTCAAGTAGCTGCTATTATAAAGAATGCAAGAAGAATGGAAAAGTCTTTAAAATCGCTCACATGCGGAGTGTGACCCATTGGCCTGCTTTCAATACAAACTCTAGCTGTAATGAGTTTATGGTTTTCAATTTGCAACCGATATGCAAAATAAACACCTGAAGAGCTGATTCAGTGGTTAGGGAAGGTGGGGAAAAACAAGCAAAGCTTTTGCAAGAGCGGGTTCAGGGTTAAAGCCTTGTTGACTCAAACTGAACCCCTGTGTCATCTGCTCAGCTCTGAATAACACCCCAGATCTTGTCAGTGGCTGGATGGCAAAACTTGCAATGAATCACAGATGTTGACTCAATTCTTTCGCTTTTGCCTTTGCGCATTCACTTTGAGTTTTCCACAGTTTATGGTCGCTAATGTTTATCAAAGAAGCCAGCTAGGGAGAACTCCTCCTTTTTGTCTTCGCTGTTTAAGCCAGACAGTAATCCAGCTACATAAAGCCAAATCGAAAGCTTGCATTTCATCTCCTCGGGGGGAAAAAACCAGAGCCCCCACAGACTGCTCTGTCCTCTGCCAGCTATGTTCTCACTCCCCACAGCACAAAGTGCAAAACAAAACGCCAGTGACAGGGCTTGGGCATTAGAAATCCATAATCATTTAAAATCTATTTTCTGTACCACCAGAGAAATGTAACATGTTTGTTTATCAGCATCAAGAGATACTTAGTGACATTAGAAATAGTATGAACTCACTGTCATTTCAAAATTTTAACACATATAAACTGATTTTCACATATTGTTTAAGACTGAACTTTATATATTAACCTGGATTTTGCTGTGTGACTGTTATGGATATTTTTTTTATTGCTTTGTTATCATCCTTGATTAAAACACTTTTGATCTTAATGTAACTTGTCCATCCACACTGGACATTCAGACAGTGAATCAGGTGTTACTCACATGCTTCATGGATGCCCGGGTTATCACTGAACTCCAGCACGTAGAGGTGGCGCCCCTCCACGCTGCGCCCAATGCTGTAGATGCGCGTGATGTAGGGGCATTCGCTCTGCACTGCAAACAGGGCTCGCACCATGTCCTCGAATCGGTGATGCTGGAAGTCTGAGCCGGACACCAGGAGTCCCATCAGCCCCAGCAGGACAGCAGCAAGCCAGGAAGGGGTCCACCTCTGCTGCATGGTCCCTCAGTCCAAGTTGTGCAGCACAGGAGGAGATAAGAGGAGTCTGGTAAAGAGACTGTTGCAACAATGCAATACACTCACACACTTTCACTTTATATTTATCTCTTTACACGCCAAACATACTGCTCAGTCCCTGCTTGCTCTTTTCCTTTCTTGTTCCCCTTCTTTCTCCTGCTCTCCCTCTCCCCCTGCCTCCTCCCACATATACTCCTCACACTGAAGAGCAAGTAAGGACAGCCCCTCGCTCCTTCTTTGTCTCACTCTCCTCCTCCAACAGCTGCTTCTCTCCCTCTCTCTTTCCCTTTGGGTCCTTGTCAAGTACATGCAACTTGCTTTATTGCTGCTTAGAATGCTTGTGCTTCAAGTAGTTCGCCCCACAGCCCCCTCGGCTCTCGGCACACACAATCTGAATTTCATTCTGTCTCTCAGACACTCATTTTCTATCCCTTTCTTTGTCTCTTACTCTGGTTTGGTTCTATACTCCCTTCCTGGGAAAGAGGGGTTGTTTCCACGGCACTGCTCTCCCCAACCCCTGCAGCCCTCAATCATCCATTCATTAACTCTTAAGTCAACACACAACCCCTCTGTGTGTGTGCGTGTGTGTGCGTGTATGTGTGTGTGTGTGTGTGTGTGTGTGTGTGTGTGTGTGTGTGTGTGTGTGTGTGTGTGTGAGTGCGCGTACATGTGCCTGCACTCCTCAGATGAATCAGTGTGAGAGCTCTTTCGCAACCTTTGGACTGGTTTTGTTGCTGTTTCCCCAAAGCAGCATTCATACACACACACGTAGGAAAACATACCCACACATGCTCCTATGGCCCAGAGAAGAAAGACCAAATGCTGCAATTAAACTTCTAAAGACACTGGTTGATGCCAAGACACATGCACCCCCCGCGCACACACACACACACTAACACATGCTGCAGAGTGTGCAAGGGGTGCTGTCAATCAAACCTCCTGGAGAAAAGAGAAGCCTTTTCCTCACAGAACGTTGTGCAACCGCTTGGGGAAGTGTCTAAAAAGAGAGCAGGGAAAGGCAAGTGTGAAGCAAGAGAAAGACTTGAAGATAGAAAATTGAGCAACATGAAGCTCAAGAGAAGGAGAAATGTCAAACAAGATATAAAGAAGGGAAGATAGACTGATGAGGATGGAGGGAAAGCAGGGGTAAAAGGATGAGGAAGAGAGACAATGAAGAGGACAAAATTTAGTCACACAAAAACCAACCAACTACACATCCTATATGCAAAGTAAGAGGGACTGCTCTGGACCGGTCCTCACTGTCTCTGTTGGTGACTGTCTTTCTTCAGCCTCACTGTTTACATCTGGCGCGCCTCAAGGATTTGCTCCGCTCGCCAGTCCCGTTCACTCTCACTGCCATGCCAACAGCATGGCTGTTGGCTCTCAGCTGTGACTTTCATTTCAATGAAACAATGCCAGCAAGATGCAAATAGAACGCAATCGTCGAGCAAAAAACTAAATGTCCCAAAACATCCTTTAGTTAATCAGATTCAATGGATCTACGTCGTCACTGCCCCTGAATTTCGACAAAACATTTCGGGACACTTGTGTCTTGTGTCAAAACATCCAACGTCTGGAACGCCTTGAAGAATTTCACCTTGAATTTTAACCCAAGGTGACTGTGTAATCAAATGGAAACACTAAGAACTAGTGACATTTTTTTGGTGAAATGAACTGGAGACAGCAAGAATCTTTATATAATCTAAACTTGACTTCATCATCCTGTTCACATGTCTAAAATAGACAAAGTGTTCCCTTGTTGCCTGCTAACAATCTAAACATTTGTTTTTCGCCTGAAGCAGCCTCATACAGCGGTCAACCAATAGGATTCAGTGTTCATAATCATCCTTAGATTGAAAATGAAGCTGAAGATGTGAAAGGCAGTGTGTCTCATCCCCACACATGCAGATGCAGATCATTCACATACTTTCAAATTTCTCTTTATACGACTTCTTGTGAGAAAATGACATCTTGTGGATAGAAATAGTAATACAGCAGTGGACACGGGAGCCATGCAGGGTGATGGAGGTGTGTCAGTTGCCAAGAACATGGTAAGAATGTGGCTTGTTCATTGGTGCACCAGTGAATGAGGCCTAGAGTTCTTGTTATATAATCTGAATTTGACTCATCTAGTCCGTATAGTGTAACAAGTAACTGCTACATAGGTAGATCATTGTGCCATGGTGGAGATCAGTAGACTTTATTTTTTAATTTTATAGAAAGGACTTAAACACTTTGTTTTTTTTTTTAATAAAGTAACATTTAACAGCTCCATGCATCTCAAAGAACAAGTTAATTTGTTCTCTGGATTTCTTTACACCTGTGTTTTCCTTCAGTGATTTAGTAATCAGTTAAAACTTTGTGTATAACTCAAACCCAGTTGTAGAGAAGCCTGAAAAACTTTTGATCTTTAAGGAAAAATGTCACTCTAAACTTCAAAACTCTATCACCAGTTTATCAGCAGCCTTCTATCGAAACTATTAACCTGAGTATGCCTTGCATACTCATAGCCCCCAGCATACCTTTTCATGAAAGTAGCAGTAGCAAATCTCTCACAACTTCAGGGCGTGTCCTGTCTCATGATTTTATGCCCGTATCCCTGTGCTGAAAGTCTCTCTCCTGAATCTTCTGCACTCTGCCTGGTCATCTTCAGCTTTCTCCTTCCTGTCTGAAGAAGTTTTAGGATTACTCTTCAGAATTAAAAAATAAACATATCAAATGTGCAGTACTGTCACTTCTATGATAATCAAAATATTTACCATTAACTGACAATGACACTCCAGTGATAATGTAGTTTTATTTCCACCTCTGTGTTGTTTATCTTCCTGGCTCATTGTGTGGGCTGTAGTTGGGAAGCACCATGGGAAGCGCAGGGGAACCTCGGTCTTAAAGAGTCTTAGCATTTATTTACTGATAAACAGCCTTAAGTGCCATTACACTTACTAGCCAACTCTCTGCCCTGGTTGCTAGCATCACCACTTTCTCTCTCGCCCGCTATGCTTACAACCTATGCGCTGAGCTATTCCTGAAAGGAGCTGCTCTACTCCTGTAACAATATTCTGACTCAGAATTCTCAAATTTTGTTGCACGAAGATGATAAATTAGTGTTCTTTGCTGTTTAGTTGCTACTGCTGGAAGTTTAGTTCCCACATATTTCTGCGCATGCGCAGGGCGAAGGCAATATAGTTCTGATCTCAGAACAGTAGAAGCTGAGTCTAGAAGGATAGCCTGCCCTGACTGCATGCCGCTGCCCAGTGGTACCTGTAGCACACAGCCAACTTGAGAAGAGGAGGAAAGAATACTGTTCCAGAATGGTGACAAAATCGAGCATTGCTAGTCCTTGAAACTACCAAACATACCGCTTGACGGTCGTGGTATTTTCAACTTTATAAGTTGAGCAACAGAAAAGTTATTCTAGAGATGAATCTAGCTAAGCTACGTATGCAGAGCTTGGCTATTGAGTAGCCGGGCTCTGATTGGTTGGTTAGTAGCCGCGTTCTGATTGCTCTGATTGACCCAGAGACAGTAGAGAAACCGGATCTTTGATTGACCGATGTATAGCCGCCATCTAATTGGTCGGTCTGTAACATTATTTTTGATTGGTCGATTTGTAGCAGCATTCTGATTGGTTTAGTTGAGTAATATTCAATATATTATTTGGTCATTAGGCCAGTCACTGAGATTCAGACCATCATCTCTTTTAAAGCTTGTACTGTGATTTATTCAAAAGATTAACTGGTTCTCCTAAAGCCATTTATAGTCTGTGTTCACTGAAGACTGAGTCAAAAAGAAACAGGAGGAATTTAGCCAGAATTCAACCAGCAGAGACCAGATGTGTATTTAATGAGAACAACCATGACCATTCAATTGAAATGTTTTAATATTAGACTATTATCAGGCCAAGTTTCATTTTTCATTCAAGACATTTTTGAGTCATTAATAGGCATTCTTCCATGAACACCCAGCACCTAAAGTGTGCAGACCTACCAAGGAGGAGTGTGTGTTGGTAATCTGTCCTTACAGGTTATGTCCATTAGTGGGCAGTGTGTATTAAAGCAAAACTCATATAAACTTGATTATAGTGAATTCTTACTTTACATTAGGTCTGCTGCCGTTTTGTATGCGATAATACTATCAAGCCTTTGCATTTTAATGCAGTGGTTTAACCACTATAATAACCTACAATCTTTCAGTGTGCTGAGAAAGCACACTGAATTTCAGTTTTTGCAAAGACATTTTTTTTCTTTTATTAAAAAAAAATAGTTTATATGCACATTTGTATGATATGCGAATATGACCTAGCTATATTCAGTAGTACAGCACAGTACAATAATATCACATGTTTGATGCTCAGACCTGCAAGCCACAAAAGTAAAACTCAGCTCAGGCTTAAAGATGCTGCACTTTCCCCGCCCACTGTATTTAATAGTATGGTAATGAGAGGTATGGATGTGGAGTTTGGGGGTGGTTCTAAGAAATTTGACTGTATTTGGAGTTGTGTCGATTGCAGATTTAAGTTTTTTTTTTTCTTGTATTGTCCTGCTTGTACTCGCACGGAGCTCGTTGGCAGGCTCTTCCCTCACAGAGCCCGCACCAGGATGGGTGCTCTCCCGGCGCAGCGGCAATTATGGATGTGTGTTTTGATCTTTACTGGAATAACAGAAGTTTGCGGTAAGTTGTAATTTGTGCTCTGCTGTTTTCATGCTTTTGCCCGTGTAGCCAGGAATGTTTTCAGTGTTAGACACATTATACATTTTTGGCGGTCTAGAGGCAAGTTTTCAACTCTGCTGAGACTTGAAAAATTATGTTCTCAAAGTACTTGTTAAGTAAGATGGTCCGGATTAGGGTGTCAGTGCTTTTTCTCATTAATTGGCATTGAGGAAGAATTTAGAAAGTTGGGACAGTGAGGAGATGCACAGGGAAATAATACATAATCAATAATTTGTAGAGAATAAATAGTTTTCATCATATACACTGAGATTCTTTACTTCAGCAAAAGTATCAATTCACTTTATTGAAGTAAAAGTACAGAAGTATTAGCAGCTAATTGTTCTCAAAGTATCAAACTTAACTTAAACTGATAAATTACACTGATAGAGTGCATCAATGAATACATGGAATTTTACAGTTGTAGCTGGCCCAGATGGAGATTGTGATACCCAATCTAGGGGTTGGGCCCCTTCAAAGGGCCACAAGCTATAACT